AAATACATATATTTTTATATATTACCAAGTGGTTTCATGTAGGCTACAACCAGTGGCGGCCGGTGGTCTTTTTTTTTGGTGGGGCTCTTGACGTACCGTAAGTGACCTACCCGGGGGGTCCGGGGGGTTTTCCCCCGGAAACTTTTTTCGAGAAATGACCCCTTAAATGATGACTTCTGGTGATGTTAGAGGGGGGGGGGAAAGGAGAAATCGAGGCTTAAAAATATGAGAAGACTGATCAATACCTCCATAATCTTCAGTGTGGAAAATATTATTTATCAACCTGAACATCTACTACTTTACCAGGAATTTGTGTTCTCAGAACTGGTCTGTTTTTTTTCTTTCTTAAAACTGTTCATGTTTTATGAACCAACACCTTCACCAAGTAGCTTTACAGTGAACTGCATGTGAGATATAAAATTAATAGCATCTTTTCAGTAGCATTAATTATAAATATTTAAGTGGTTCAATACAAGTCACTACAGCATTTCAAACTGAACTGTGAATAAATGCAATTTAAAAAAAAATAACCACAGCACAAAATGTCATAAATTGTGTTTTTTCTTTGTTTCTCTGAGGATTATTTACAAACAGGCTTATTTACATATAGCAATAACTCAGAAATGAAAAAGCTACATCGTCTAACACGAACAACCACTTAGCATAATGATAATATATGTGTTATGTACAATGTAACTGGCAAGGCTAGAGCAAGAAAGAACATAAAGTTTGCAAAAGGTTTAAATAACTTCAAGTATCTGTCTTCAGATTACGTGGAGGTTTTAGTCCGATGGGAAGCAGATTTTAAGCGACACCGAAGATAAACCAAAAATGTGGTGGAGCTGCAAACCGTGTAGTGTTGCTGGGACAGAACAGGAGCTATAACCGTTGGAAAATACATCACAGACAATGCAACAAACGTGGAGACAGAACAATCACTTCTGTGATAAATGCCCACTTATTAATAAACTTCTAACAACCATGGGAAACCTCCTCTCTACATATAAAGTGATATCCAAGCATGGGAAACAAAAGACAGCATTTACCTGTTTGCATCCAGCTAGCCAAGCCTTTCTTGTGTACCAGCTACTTGTGAAGCCTCGTGTATAAATGTTGTCTTTTTCACGAGATTGCTGCGATATATTCAAATCGGGTTGGTCCGGTGCAAGGTCTTTAAGCAACAATTTATCTGCCAAACTTCTCCTTTCGAAAGGATTGGAGATTAGCTCTTGAACAGAATTAGCCGGGGACCGAGGTCCGGAGACTCCACCTGCACACGAAGCCATCCTCATCAACTACTGCGTCAACCGGATACGAGTCACTGTCCAAACTACTCACAGACTGCACTGGGCGCTGACATTGGCGCCCGGTGACCATCATCTTTGACGACGCTGATTGGCTGAAATTATATTTTCGCGGCATAGTTTACACGTTACAGATAGCAACAGTCAGCTGCTGGTGGCTGCTGCTGCACTGGTTGAAGGCTCCTCTCTTAGCGCCCAGACGAGAGAAGGTGCATGGGCAAGGCCAGGCAGGAAACATGTGACTTATCAGTAACTTTAGACATCGTAACACAATTTTAAACGAGATTTTATTGTAGATTATACATTTTACTGATACCAATTATATAATATTTACCTTGTTCATTAAAAATAAAAATAAAAACATATATATTTTTTTAAACATATTTTTTTTTTTTAATTTTAATTTTAATTATTATTATTATTTTTTTTTTTCAATATGGGAAGAGGTGGGGCGGCGCCCCTAGCGCCCCTATGGACCGGCCGCCACTGGCTACAACCCACACAAGTATCATGCTAAATTAAGCTCTGTTGCTTGGATATCACTAGATCCTGTTACATCAGCGTAATATAAAAGTACATAACGACTGATGTGTAAATTAGCATAATTACTAGCTAGCCGCTAGCTGCTAACTGCCGCCTCGTCGTTAATATCAAATCCATCATAACAACCCATTACCATGCTGTCATGAACGCGCGGTGCTGTTACGTGTACGCAAATTGACGTGCTTGATGTGAACGAGCATTTTGGGGGGCATGTTTAAAGTTGCGCATGCGCTATGAGCGCACATACGGGTACTTCTCAGGCATGCCGGGTAATCTGTGACGTTTCGCTCTCTCAAAAGTTGGGCCATTTTGTCATCATGCGCGATTGAGCAACTCTCATAGGAATGAATGAGGCCCCGCCTCCCACGCTGTATCCAGTTCTTATTATACATCCATGCGTCACGTCCGTTAATTCCACATCCACACCAGTCTATGATCCACACACATGGATTAACATCGATTTAATACATTAATGTAGCCTTTGTTTCTGCTAAAAGAGGTGTCGACCAGCTAGGGCAACAAGAAAATCGACGAAATCGAGTGTGACGATTAAAAAATAAATTAAAAACATCTAATTTTGACAATAAAAACCGACCAATAGTCTTGGTAGAGCATTTGCTTGGCACTTCCGGGTATTTCTCCACTGGTTGGGCCATGTTAACAATACCGTGTAACTGTCATGTTTGAAGGGACGAAACCGTGACATATTCACGTCTCCCAGCATGGTAGATCGTCACGTCTTGCCGTGATACCGGGTTGAATATGTCTTGATAATGTCTGGTCAATGTGCTAATCTGTGCCATAAATAAAAAGGAGAGAGGAGAGCTCATGCAGGAGAATTCTACCCAGATACTCAGCTAAACGCTGGCGTGATTAAATGCCATATTATGTTCCAAACCACATCAAGCATTATTTCTGAAACAGTATGGAGCTCAAACGCTTTCTCTCTCGGGGGTTTACCACAAGGACAGTACCTTTTATATCCTGCTTCTTTACATATATTCTCTCCAGTACAGACACTTTGTGAGTCTCCTTACATACATATTTATGTATAAGAGACATCAACAAGTGCATTTTGCATGATAGGAGACCTTTAAAAGGTAAAATAAGATTAAAATCTAATACAAATCTAAATTAACATTAGCTGCAAGTATATATAGTAAGAATACAAATAAAAATTGACCCTAGAGATTGACATTGGATTGAATATACATTATAATTGTGCAAATAGCTGTTTGGGTTATGGAAGAAGAGACACTATACATCATCTCTCCGTCCCTGAGGTCTCCTTCCTCTTCCATATATCAGATCCATTCCATTGCATCAAGGTAAAACAACACTAACTAATTATATGAACTATGTTTTGCATTTCTTATCTAAAGTCTTATTGATCTATTTCAATCACTATAAGACATATACTGTATGTATGTATGTTTGAGTGTCAGCCAAACTATTTTGTAGTAACATAGGAGTGCCACATGATGGCAGAAGCTACATTTGAAGTACCATAATAAGGAAACCATGCACGTTTCTGAATTGTCCAAAGGTTCCTGCAAAGTGCGAAGTATTTTAAGATCTAATTCCATTACATATTTTTTGATATAATAATGTATTTTTCATGTTAGAAATCCTTTCAGTAGGTATTAGCAGAGGTGGGAGAAGTACTCAGATCTTGTACTTGAGTAAACGTAGAAGTACCAGAGTATAGAATAAGCACCAAAAGTAAAAGTAGTCATTGTGCAGATTGGTCCATTTCAGAATAATATATATGATATGTTTTATAATGATTGATCATGAAAGTGTTCTCAAAGCTGGTAAAGGTGCAGCTAGTTTGAATGACTTTGTATACTGCAGGGTAGCTTGTGAATTTACTCCAGGTGGAACTAAAGTCTGATTTAAGACTTGATTATATTTCACATCATTCATCCACATCTGTGAAGTAACTAAAGGTATTAAATACATGTAGTGGAGTAAAAGTACACCATTTACCTCTGAACTGGATATTATATCACTGTTAGGTCAGACCAGGCAGACAATAAGAGCTGCGATGCCAATCCTAAGGCTCAGGGGCCTCATTTATAAAGCCTTGCGTATGATTGGCGTGGGAAGGTTGCTTACGTAGGACAAAGCAAATAAATACGCACCGACATTTTCCGATTCATAAAAGACTGCGTACCGGCGCAGGACTTGCGTACGGCACATCCTACGCCTGTTTCCCTTTATAAATCACAATCAACTCGAAATGCGGCGCAGCTTTTGCGGGCTTCACGTAACGCCCATATTTGCCTATAAATAGTCAAAGAAACGCAGTTTGAACCAGAGTAGCAGCATGGAGGTCGGATCGTCACCAAAATAAATAAATAAGTGGTCCGAAAAAAGTTAATGACAAAAAAAATACACATAACCTTCCTCAGGCAGTGTGTTTGTCCCGGGGACAGGAGACACCCCCTTGATGAGAAACTCTAAGAAATGATCGGGGAATCCCTCCGGAGTGGAGTCATGACGACTGGATCTGAATTATTTTGTTGTATTTGGTGGTTTGTGTTCCAGCTGTCGATCAGCAACTATATATCCATAATCCACCAGTTAAAGGAAATACAACTAAATGTGTTGTGTTATATTAGCTGTACAATTTACGGGTGTTCTTAGTTTCCATACCTCCTGTGTTTTACGAGCGACTTATCAAGTAGGCTATTTCCACATATTTCTCTCCATTCTTCCTTCTGCCAACAGTGTCGCAGTTTTCTCGTCTCTCCCGTTGTTGTGCTTAGTGCGTACGCATGGGTTAGAGTTTGCGTGGAGGACCGCACATTTTCCCGTCAAGTTTGTTTTTTATAAATCGCAAACATTGCGTAGAAACTGGCGTACGCCATCTCTTGAGCGTACGCACCATTTATAAATGAGGCCCCAGAGGAGGAGCTTCATTCTATAATATGACCAAATATACTTATCAAACAGGGAATTAGAAACACACACCTGAATCTAATGGGAGCCACATTCAAATAAATGAAAAGGAAAAACTATTCCTTTTGAGGAGCAACAACCAATGAGGAAACGACTCTATAGGGCTGGCCTTGCATAAGAAAAAGAGATTAGGCTCATATTAAATCTGTGAATACCACACTAGTACATTCTGGTTTTCTGAGTCAAAACTACAAACAAGTGTTTTATTGGCTGAATGAAATACAAATTGATTGCAAGTCATACATATTACAGTGCAAGTCCTGTTTTGAAGCAACATCTTATTTTCCAAACTGTTGATCAGCAGGTGTGCCTTTCTTTGGTGAGTGCCTTTCTTTAATATGTATCTTCTTCATGTTCTCTCCATCTCCAGTACTACTCTCCACAAACAGATCCACGTCTATGACAGAAAAAAAAGAGTTTAGATTAACATTTTCAGTAATGCTTTTGCTTATTCTATTCCCCCATATATAACTTAGCTCTGTTGTCTTAAGTTTTATGATGTTACAAATTCACAAAAATACAATGTTACTTCAATCTAACACACTCTCATCATCAAACTTGGTCCTCCATCAGTGGCATGTTCACTATGTCTGCCTCTCACCCCTGGGGTTGGCATTGGAGGCTGTCGGCACAGGGGCAGTGGTCCCGGGGCCCCTCCTGGTCCCAGGCCAGCATGTCCATCAGCAGGTTGGGGCGGCTCACACAGGACTCCCCCCTCTCTGGTCTGGGATTACACACTGGAAACAGCAGCTCTGCAGGAAGCAGCAGAGGAGACAATGGGAGTTTACTCTGGTCAGCAACAGTGGCCATGTGTAACCACTAATATGAGTTTGCTGTTACACACAAACCAATAAAGCCGTTATAAGAGAGTCATTAAGGCTAGTCACAGACAGGAGGCTATTTCTATGGATATCTTTATTCACTTTTGTTTTAGCCTGCTTGAGTGCTAAAGTGTGACAGATAGCATCAGCTAACAGACAATTTGATCGTGTGCACATCTTTTAAATGACTATAATTCAGGTCATTTTTGTTTTCCTTACCATTTATGTTTGAGGCTGGATTAACTTTATTTAGTAAAATATAATATCTTTAAAGACAATGGAAATATATAGATTTAGTTTGTTTTGTTGAGTGTAGGTGGATTCCTCCCCAATAGTTAAATGCAAATGTTGTTTGTAAAGGGTCTAACAGTATAATAATGCAAATATTAGCCATATTTTGTTTGGAAATAATTTGAGTAATCATAATTCTTCCAGCTTTATAAGTATGGACCGGAAATGAAAGAGTCATTTAGGCATATTATTTATTGTAATTATTTATGTTTTGGTGAGCCAATTGCATATTCTTCTAATTTAACTTTAATGAACTGAATAACTATGAAATATTATTATAGCGTTTTTGTGTAGTTTAGTTTTGTTTATGGATTGCTCTAGGTTTATGTTTGGTATTGTTTATAGAAAGCAGACTATAAATGAGGCTCCCAGCGTCACACAGCAGGAAGTCTGTAGGGAAGGTCGGAAAACCTTTTGGACCTCACAACGGCACGCCTGTTGGTTTTGTTTGTGTTCATTTATTTAAATGCCGTGCAAAAGTTGTAATGCGGTAGCGGGCTACCAACTGATCAAATGAACTATTGAATAAAGCTCTTTGAATGGAACGATGGAAGGTATTTGGATTTCTTAAGTTCACCCGAGTCAGCACTCAAATTGGTCTTGTAGGATAAGTGGCCTTTGAACATTGTGTTATGCATCATCGCCCACTACACTAACAGCATCTCCAGAGCTCCATTGACTTTTAGGTGAAAATAGAAACCAAACAGAAGTATTAGCAACAAAATGGTGTGGAACATTTTCAAGTAATGTAATAAAAAAAGGTCATAATAATAATAATAATAATAATAATAATAATAGCTTAGATTTATATAGCGCCTTTCATGGGACCCAAGGTCGCTTTACAGAGAAAAACAGGAGTAAAAACAAACAAAAACAAAAGGCAGTCAGACAAACAGTCAGACAGACAAAACAACAAATAAATGAGGGGCCGAAGGCCTTGGCAAATTGGTCATAAGAAGCAATAGCAGAGGCAACAGTGCTGCTGAAAAATAAAATATACTGTATGGTGTATGTCAACGATAAAACAGAGAGGAAATCTGAAAAAAGGGCATACAATATTAAAGCCAAGACACATAAAGACCATGTATTTCACATTATAAGTCAAAATACCCCACAGCATGTATTTTGTATTCATGTTGAATATAAACGTTGACAGGGACTGTGACGATGTATTTGCTCACATGTACTTGGTAAACTGTAATATTTGAGTGGTTTTAGGGAATGTGCTGTAACAAAACAGTGAAGAAATAACTTATATGAAAACTACAATTTGATAGACAGCTATCAAATTGTAGTTTTATTCTGAGCAATAAAAAACAACCAGCAGAGGTTGAAGAAGGGCTCCTGAGGACCAGGTGAATGCTCCTCTGAAAGGACTCACCTCTCTGGAAGGCGCAGCAGAGGGGGGGGCTGCAGTCGCTCTGACCCTGACAGATGGTCCCCTCTGCTCCGGAGGTGGCGTTCACTGTACACTGGCCCCACACACACATCTGATCTGAGCAACACTCCTCATCCTTAGTGCAGGGCTGAGTTGGCACACACACAGATATGCAGATTGTAACACAAATACACGGTAAAAGTATTTCTGTACCATCATAAATCTTCACTTATCCTTTTGAATATTTCCAGCAAAAGGCACCATGTGTAGCTTTTAAACATTGATTTGTTAGATTAGATGTTGTATTTCTTGTACAGTTGACCATGTTATAATGATCTAACCATTGGAACACACACACAGAGAGCCACATGCACTAACATGCATGTGAGGCTGGACTGGCTACATTAACACTCAGATTATAACACACTGCGGTAACACTTTATTTTGATAGTCCATAGTTAACACTCTATAAGTCATCAGTTGACATTCAACAACACTGTTTCAACAGACAAGTAACATGCATTTAACTAACTGCCAGTAGAATATAAGGTACATCTCAAGTGTTGATTTATAGATTGTACAAAAAGTGTCTGTTGACTGTCAACATGTTTTTTGCAACAGGTTATTAACCGATATTCAACCTTACTATCTGTAGATTGTGTCAACATCTTTAAAATTGACAATCAACTACTCAAAATCAATCTGTCAGTTGAAAGTCAACAGGGTCATGTCGACTATCTGTTGATAATCTGTTGAGAGTCAAGATGTCAACTAAAGATTACATTACTAAGTCATTAACCATTAATTGACGATCAACAGATAAGCAACTAAAGTTTAGTTGATTATTACATTAACCATTAGTTGATGATCAACAGATAAGCAACTTTAGAGTTTAGTTGACTATCTGTTGATTGTCAACTAATCTAGAGTTGACTATCAGTATACTTTTAGTAGGTTCTCCACTAAGCGTTAGTAGGCATGTGTTAGGACTATCCAATTAAAGTGAAAAACAGTTGAGAACAGTAGAAGTAGTAGTCACTTAGTAGTCCTTTAGTAGGATTGAATGTGGTTCACAACTGTTCAGTGTTTTTACTTGTAGTATATTATTAAAATAAAAAAGCTTTCTTTCTCTGATATGCTGCATATAGTGTTTGTTCTACTGTGCTTTATAGCCTGGCATTGACTTCAGTTATCCAGTATTCGTGATCAGTTGTGCGAAAGATTTCGCTTTACTCCCATGTCTGTTGCATATAATTAGTGGATGTATGTGTTCTGTTGATAGGTTATAGACTTTCTACTGTTCTCAACTGTTTTTCACTTTAATTGGATAGTCCTAACACATGCCTACAAACGCTTAGTGGAGAACCTACTAAAAGTATACTGATAGTCAACTCTAGATTAGTTGACAATCAACAGATAGTCAACTAAACTCTAAAGTTACTTATCTGTTGATCATCAACTAATGCTTAATGTAATAGTCAACTAAACTTAAGTTGCTTATCTGTTGATCGTCAACTAATGCTTAGTTACTTGTCGGTTTGAACGGTGCTGTTGAATGTCAACTGATACATGTCAACTGATGCACTGTTGACATGCTACTAAATGTCAACTGATGACTTATAGAGTGTTAACTATGGACTATCAAAATAAAGTGTTACCCACACTGCTCAGGTAGACATTACACTGAAGAAACTGAAAACGTTGACTTTAATTAAGTGTATTATGTTAACAGAGTTATAGGAAATCTGTTGACATAATACACTTAATTGAAATCAACGGTTCACTTTTTTCAGTGTTTTACATCTTTACATGACAAATATTTGTTTGCTGCTATGTAAATGCAATACGTGTTGTATAGAACCGTTAGCTAAACAAATAAACAACACCTTTGAGTGCTCACCATATCTGTGGGGATGCAGGGGAGGCACTTGGAGCTCTGGATCCCATACAGGCAGTATCTCAGGGCCCCACAGTCCTCATCCACCATGCACTCCTGAGACAGAGAACAGGAGTAAACCAGGTCATCTATAACAGAGCACAGAATTAAAGTGGATCAACTGAAGGTATTAATGTTGTCGTCCTTAAACTCTTAATCTATAAGAAAAGTCAATTTATATTACACACTACAAAGGAATGTTGTCCGAGGAGGATGTGGTTGCCAGCTGTCCATCACCATGGAAACTGTCTATGATTTATTTGTTTTTTGGATGCAATTGTGCCTTTGAAAGTGTCATCATGGTTTGCTTAAATAGGGCAGATCACTTCATCAACAATTTCATAAATCAGACAAAGAGAAGTTTAAAAATAACAGTTGCGGAAAAATCAAGAGATAACAAGGCCTGTAATGATTCGATGCTGTGTCAGGATTATGAGACAAGTCATATCTAACTGGAAGTGAATTCACTTATGTAAAAACTAAACACAGTCGCCATATATTTCCATTTTCAGGCACTTTTAAAACTTGTATGGACGTCTGTTTAAAGCTGTCACAGCTTAAGGTGACATTACAAAGTATGAACATTGAAGTGATACAGTAGTCACGCTCAGGGGCGTCGCCTGGACCTGAAAACATTCGGGGCTTAGCCCACAGTGGCGGCGGCGCTACAGTGGAATATTCTACTGCAACACTCCCCACACGCACACACACAGTATAGCCGCGACTGCTACAATGAAGGCTCGATAATCAGCTCACAGGCAGGGGTAAAGTGCTATTTTTTATGAGTGGGGGCGGGACCTAACCTCCTCTAGGGGGGTCCGTGGGGATGCTCCCCCGGGAAGATTTTTTTTTAAATATTGAAGTTAAAAGCATCAATCTGGTGCACTTTGAGAGCAACATTAAGAGATCTATGAATACCTCTCTCAACACCCATATGAAACAGAACTGTAAACAGATTTACTTTTTCTTTAAGGATATTTTACAAATCACTCCCCTTTTAAACTCTATTCTTGTTTTACTGCCATATAGTATTTCATAACTGTTTTTCCTTTATTCTCTTTATTTTTTTTATAACTATAATGATCATATAAACGTGTGCCGCGTAAATAATCTTTTGAATCATTTGTGACCAAACCGTTTGAGACTCACTGAGATAACTAAAGTAAACTATCTAAACACTCAGAGAGTCCTTTAGCTCACCTGAGTCTCTCAGTCTGTCAGCAGAGGACTCTCCTCCAGCTTGTTGTGGAACAAACAACTCCTTATGTCCGTTTATCAGCTAGCTAACCAGATGCTAACAACACGGTCCCTCTCTCTCTCTCTCTCTCCCTCTCTCTCTCTCTATCACACTAAATGCGCTATTGCCACACACACACAGAGCCGAGCTTGAATGACACAAGCACACGTTTATTTCCATGCAACTCTCTGATTGGTCTGGTGTCATGCCTCTGTTGCATTCACTGAACACGGGAAATTACAGTCCTGCCGTCCTCTCTTGTGTCATGATGAGGTTCACGTAAAGCACGGTTAATGTATTATATTATTGAGGGAGAATTGTCCGGGGCTACAGAAAAAACATTCGGGGCTAAAGCCCCGGATGCCCAGGCCAGGCGACGCCACTGGTCACGCTGATAATGAACAATACTACACACAGCCATCTCAAAACATCCACAGTTCAGCTCTCTTCATCCTAAATATACAGACAACTTGGTGTTTTCTGTAAAGTTCTGAATCAGCCAACGCTACTGTGACTCTCCCTTGAGTAATATAAGTGAGACTCCATGTTGAGAATGGAATGTCTTCACAGTTAGTCACTCAGAAGTGCAGACCTTCTCCTTCCTGGCTCGCAGGCTGACTGGCTTCCCTGACTTCTTTTCCTGCAGCAGGGTCTATTAACATAACCACTTTCTGTACCGCTGCCAGGAAAGCAAAAGATCAAAACCACCGTTGTAAAGGAAAATGGCAAAACAGGCTGAACGCAGTAATAATGACTTCAGCCCAGGCTGGCCGCTGGTGGCTTCCACTGTGAAAGTATATGCTGCATGAGCTCATTCTACATACAACAAGCTGAGACAGAACAGCCACAGTCCGTCTCTTCTTACACACATTATGCATACTTACCAAACTGAAGGGAATACATTTACACAAGTCCTTGAAGTTAATGTTCAGCTAGAATGAATGCTGTTAAAATACAATAAAGACTCAAATGTATCTGCATTTACTATTGCCGCTAAAATAAACAGATCTGAAACTGGCGCGGCTGGATGTTTGTTTCTGCCTATTCCAAACACACTGGGGAAGCAGACCCAACACTTTGAGCTCAAAAAACTCACTCACAGTTCTCCATTAGCTGTTCTAAGTATTCTATAGTTATACATTATATCAGCTTTACAAGGAATGAACCCAGAATGCATCAGGCCAACAGTTATCTAATTCCTCACACAGACCAGACTCAGACTCACGTGATCCCCCGAGTTCCAAGGGCCAGACATCTCCATGTGGATTTGTGAAAGATGAATGTCTCCTGTTTCATTATGAGTCTCCTATACAGCAAAAGGTGACAAGTGTATCAGAGCTCAAACGCAATAGCAGTTATATCTTTGTGTTTTATTCATGCAAAAAAAAGGGGAAAGTATTAATGTTTCAGCACATTCCTAAAGCCATACATGTGGTTGTGACTCTGTGAACAAGGCTTGCTTTTCCATGTGTGATAATAATACATGTTATCATGTTTCAGGGGGAAGCATACGTTGTCAGCTCTATCCAGGACCTGAAGCAGTCGGTCTTCATCCTTTGTCATCTTCCTCGTCTCATCGTGGGGGTTAGTATGCAGATCCAGGAAGGTTGAAGATGATTTAGCACTCTCAGTAGTTATCTGTCGGGTGGAATGTTCAAAAATCTCTTAAAAAATAAACCCAGAGCATCTCCATGAGGATCAGATTTCAATAGGGAGAGGGGAATAAGAATCCTGCAGCTGGCTGTAGCTGTGGAGAGTTTGTAGTATTCAGACATACTGTATGTATCAGAGACTATGGTGTAATGTAGTGAAGTACATTTACTCAAGTACTGTACTTAAGTGCGATTTGGGGCTACTTGTACTTTCCTTTAGTAATGCAATGTTATGCTACTTTATACTTCTACTACAATTTCGACTTCCAAAAAGTACAATTTTGGAAGCCAACATTGTACTTTTTGCTCCACTACATTTACCTTGTTTGGTGATTGGCTAATGGTTACACAAGACAAAACATCGTTATGACATCATAAAGTGGCCAAAATCTGATCAGCTCATTTTCAGACAGGTTTTTATATAAATGGATCAGGACAAAAAGAGAGAGAATCTTTTTTCAGAATCTCTGTACACAGAAAGGACACATGTATAAAATACATGAACAAGTGGATTTTGCATAATAGGTCCCCTTTAAGTGTGATTGTGTATGTAGGATTTTACTTGTAACAGAGTATTTTTATACTGTAGCATTTCTACTTTTACTTAACGAGTGCTTCTTTCCCCTCTGTCAGACAATACTTTAATAGCAACACACTTCTTAGATTCTGGGAAGAAGACAAACCTCACTGTATCTAAGTGTCAGCTGAACAAAAACAAAGTGAGTATTTGGTGTCTATTAACTTTATTTTGGCCGGACAAAATACATTATGAATAACATGAGGGCTATTATAGGCCATTCAGACACGGTGTGGGTCAGACATAAAGCATGCATGGAAACTATGTGTAGTGTCTGCTGGTCTAATCAACATTAAGAGGAGCACCACGAGATGTCCCCGACACAGATCATCTCCACTGCTATTCATTATAAATATGTACTGTATAAAAACATAGCAAGTTATAAGTACTCTGCCTTTGTATGAATGTATAAAACATGCCGCAGACCTGATCCACAGCCTCCTCCAGGATGTGCTGCGTGTCCTCCATCAGCTCCTCCACCTCCCGGAACATGTCGTTCAGGCTGGCCGGGCCACGCTGCAGGGCTCCCGGCAGGATCTCAGCCCCGCTCCGGACCCACAGGCTCAGGGACAGAGAGACCAGCAGCAGCAGCAGCCAGATCCCGGACATCTCTCCTCTCTGTGTGCCGGTCCACCGAGCACTGAGCAGTGACGCACTGAGGGCGCACAGCTGCGGACGTTTTATTTGGAAACTCTGAGGCGTGATGGTGGGTTTATAAACTTGGAATAATCCGGTTTAATGGCGTGGAAAAGTTTCAAATTACAGTACATATACGATATACCAACGCATGTCAAAATCAAACGGCTTTTGCTTTCAGACTAATGCACTGTAAACAAATGTTAAAAAGATCAAAGCTGGCAGGGGTTAAACCAGATGTGAGACCTGTGTGTGGAACATCACACCGGAGTCAACAGGAAGAGACACGAGTAAACAACCTCTTCACTGTATTGCAACACACACATAGGCCTACAATGTATTACAATTATACTTTTGAGGTGAAGTACATCAAGTTTGTGATTCTGAACAACTAATATTCACATCTGATAGCAGAAATGTTTTTTGAGGCTATTTTATACACAATCCCACCATTTGCTAATGTGAAGCTACGGTTAATCTCTAATCACCAATTCTCTATGTTCAATTGACATTACAAATCGGGGGTTGTCATGTTAGTCTAAGTTTAATATATTTATTTAATGCATAACACGGCTGTTAAGACACATTTTCTAGATGTATTTCAGTTTTTCGTCTATTTTGCTATGTCCAATGCAACAATTCAATTTCAATGTAAGGAAAAGTAGTCAAATCATTAAAAAAATTGTTTTTTTTTTCATATAATGAGTTTTAATAAGTTAAGTTTTACTCGTTTTACTCATGGATTGATCATTTCATGTTCAAAATCATATCTTATTTATAAAATAATAGGAGTTTGTATCAGTTTCCCTGTCCGGGTCTCCGCAGACGCGTTCTCTTCCTGTCTCCAGTGGCGGGAAAGTGAGGCGAGTTTGCCTACTTGTTCTACCTAAGCTTAACATGTCACAGGCATAGAATATTCTGGAAGCAATTAGAAAATGATCTTTTTTAAAACCTGTAAGTTTGCCTACTAAATTGTCTTCAACAACCAGACCAGCCAGCTATTCACAATTTGTCTAATATGCTTACTGAAGGTCAAAATGTCCACCCTATCGGCCACTCAGGGTGGCATATACCGTTCATTTGTCGATAACAACTAGTATTGCAATTTATAGAATTCAAATATTAGAATTTATAAAAACATCCGCTATTTTGCCTAAAGTGATGTATTCTTTGCCTTCAGAAAAAAGAAAGTGAGGGATGGAGGAAATAGACATTTTTAAATGCTCTTACATTAACGCAAATGCTGGGAGGGATGGGCACATAAGAGCGGGAAACATCCCCTCCCGGACCCTGCATCCCACAGACTTTGTAAAGCCTCATTGTTTGACCGACATACTCCTGCCAGAATCAACTGACCTACAGTATGTAGGCTTGGAGTTCTACATGGACAGGTAAAAGCCCTCCACGTGCCCCCAAAAACACGCCTCCCCTCCAGGTGTCTCATCTCTAGTATAATCTTCTGAATTAACTCCTGTAAAAAGAGGTGAAAGCTGGACTTGATGTCATCCACACGTGATGTTGCATATCGTGTTTGCCCTGGCGTCATCCTAACATAATGTTCCACCCTCGCTCTTCCTCCTCTGTCCTGGGAGGAGGAATTCAAGAGCAAGTTGCCATCCTTGGACTGCGATGTCACCTCAGGTGCCTGGTCTTCAGGTGCCTCTTCCTCAGGGGCCTCTTCCTCAAAATCAGGATCGATATTCTCTTCCATCTCTGAGACATCTTCCTCTATTTCGGGTTCCACACCAATCCCCTCTTCATCTGGCTCAAACATTTGGTCTAGAACCTCTCTGACAGATAACAGTCTAATCGGTCGCTCATTGTGCTCATGGAGTCAAATGAGAGCAAGGCAAAAATGTAATTATAAATAGGGGTTTCTGTGAGAAGATATGATGCATTGTTTAGTCTGCCAGGTGTGGGCACATGAGAGCGGGAAATGCATCAAATCAGTGTGTGTGTGTGTGTGTGTGTGTGTGTGTGTGTGTGTGTGTGTGTGTGTGTGCGTGCGTGCGTGCGTGCGTGCGTGCGTGCGTGCGTGCGTGCGTGCGTGCGTGCGTGCGTGCGTGCGTGCGTGCGTGCGTGCGTGCGTGCGTGCGCTATTTAATGGATGGTTACCCATTCATTTCTTATGGCGGTCATCGGACCGGGAACATCATAGGTGTTACAAAGTTGACTAAACCACCCAAAATTCAATGAAAGTGGTGGTCAGCAATTGTATATGTTCACATGTCTACTGTTGAGGATATCATAGCCTTGATGCAATCAAATATAAAACACAAAAGTTATGATTGATGAAAGTAGTAAATCGGTCAGATTTGACCCGAACACAACAGAAGGGTTAATCAACAGTTTTTTGCAGTTCAATCATTTGTCTTTGTCCATCCTGTCATGCAAATGTCAAGTTAAAATGGCCTTTTGGTGGATTTCTTTGTAAAAAAATATGTATATTTGTTGTTTGATTTTATTTGAAAATAATATTGCATATTTTATAGGGAAGCAAATATTTAGCAGTAAATTAATTATTAGCAAAACAGTTTTCTTATTACCTGAAATATATTGTTGTTATTGTGGCTTGTTAAAAAAGGGACAAAATATATTGATGAAAATGTAATTTGTTTTAATCACTATACAATGAAATGTATACGTGAAAGCACTCTCAATGTTTCCATGACAGGGTGGACATATTTTGCGATTGGCTCCAAGTAACATCAGAAGTTTAACCAAATAATGTCTCTCTTTGTATCATCATACCGCCGTCTGTGTGTGTGTCTGTGTTTGGATGATCTACTTTAGGTTTGCCGTGTGTGTTGTTGAGTACCCGGGGGGTAGTGCAGTGAAACACAGGAAGTTATTTGGATTCAGCATTCGCTAAAAGTTCATCAAAATCACCACACCAGCGCAGCCATGTTAAACCTACAGGCCTAAACAAAGAGGGGTGCACTACAAAACAGGAGTAGTTTGTCAGCAGGTGTGTTGAGCCCCAAGAGCTTTCCGGGTAACGAAGGTAGCTCTCTTTTTACTTGGTCAGATCGCCATGGCAACTTGTGCTCCAGAGCAGGTTAGGTCTCAGAGTCTAAGCTTTCTAAGATGACTAAGTCAATAGTCAATCTATAAGCAGTACAGTCTTAGCTAAGGGAGTACTTTATTGATGTAAACTTCCGGCAGTACCGTTATTTGTTTATTATTTTCATTTAGTTTTATAATATTTATATATTACAATGACTATGCCTCCAAAAAAAGGCTCCTATAAATCCGCTGGTGGCATAGCCTAATCAGTTTATAAATAACCTGAATCTGATATGCAAAGTGTTTCCTCTGCAGGCGGAACATCTCCTTCCTGCGTGTGACCATGGTCTTAGTCATGAATCTGAAGGCTTCCACAAGAAGGTAAAGAGGCACTTTTCAAATATGACCACAAATGCATATTTAAAGTGAAATAACAAATGTGTGTGTGCAATTTTTATTCTCTCACCCCCCCCCCATATGTGTGTCTTCATAAGCATAAAGACAATATTTCTCCCAGACTAACTGAAGATGAACTTAGATAAGAGATAAACATGACCTTTAATACAGACAGCAACAATGTCTCATTCATTAGAAAGATGCTATAATATTCCATGTCTTGTTATATTTCCAAAGGGTTCTCAGAGATGCACCTTCTCTGTGTACACAGCAGAGGTCAGTGTTTCATTGTAAACGTTCCATATTGTTTGTACTCATCAAGTTTGTGGACTGTGAACGGACAGGAAATGAATCCTAGGCTTTTAGTGATTGAAACTAGTTTGCAAGTACTATATGACTCATTTCAACCCTAACAAACTAAACTGTTTTATTTTTTTCTTAAGATGATTATAAGGTCAATTTCTGATGTTAACATACGATATGTGTAACCAGTGCTTGAATTGGGCCGGTACTCACCAGTATGCAGTACCGGCACTTCTGATTTTTACCCATGTGGTACCGGCACCTTGCCGGTACTCAGTAAAATGCCGGTACTCAGCCGCCGGCCGCACGTCATGACGCATGACAACAAATATGCCCAGCCAGATACGGCTCTGTGCCCAGCGTAGTGCGTACCTAGATGATGCATCTATGACGCGACGTCGCGATAGTCTAGAGCAGAAAAGACATCACATAACGACGACGTTAGCATTTCGAAAATGTTAGCGTGGCTTAATAATAGTGCGAAAAGACAGCGGTTGTCGCCGGACAAGGAGCCGACTGCAAATACAGAAAATGCTGTGCCTGTGTCTGAAATTGTGCCTTCTCTGGTCGAGCCTCCTGCTCCAAGTTCAGTAGCACTAGCTCCCACAGAGCCTTCTCTCCCGCTAACGTTAGCTGCTGCTGGCGCAACTACCACCAACAACACCGGGCAAAGCGATGCACCTGACTGCTGGACAAGGGACCAGGTGGACTATTTTTGCAAGACCAATGAATGGCTCATTGTTAAAGACAAAAAGCTGGGATGTTGGATATGTAAAGAGGTGAAATATTTGGGAAAACACACTGGACAAGGAGTGAAAGTATCGATTGAATGGGGTGAGTGTGCAGTGTCTCATTTCGGTAGTGACAAGTGCAAACAACAAGCTAGCCTGAGAAAAAAAATCAAAGAACACAAAGAATCACAAGCCCATGTAAAAACTGCTGACATACTTCAATCTGCTTCACGTGAAGCAATTCAAAAGCAAGTGCAGTCTATGCATAGATCAGAATACGAAACCACTATCAGAGTTTTTCGAACGGCATATAAAATTGGCAAGCATAGCCGGCCATTCACGGACATGCCAATTGATTTGAACTTACAGAAACTGAACGGGCTGAACGTGGGCAGGGTTTGCACCAGTGGCGGCCGGCCCATAGGGGCGCTAGGGGCGCCGCCCCCCCTCTTCCCACATTAAAAAATAAAAAAAAATAAAAAAATATATATTTAAAAAATATATTTTTTATTTTTATTTTTATTTTTAATAAACAAGGTAAATATTATATATTTGGTATCAGTAAAATGTATAATCTACAATAAAATCTCGTTTAAAATTGTGTTACGATGTCTAAAGTTACTGATAAGTCACATGTTTCCTGCCTGGCCTTGCCCGTGTATCATTACCCTCTCTCGTCTGGGCGCTATGCACAGCGCCCAGACGAGAGGGCAGCAAGTGCAGCAGAAGCCAACTGTTGCTATCTTTAAACTATGCCGCCGAAACATAATTTCAGCCAATCAGCGTCGTCA